AGCGTCACTGCTGTTACTTCTGAGGTAAGCTAACAGAGGAAGGACGACTAACACAAAAACAAGCGAGCATATTCATCACACGTAAAACCGTCTTTAACATCATCACTTGATGATAGAACTGAGCCTACAAAATGCTTTGTGATAAATTCACAACGTACAATTTCAACTCACAACCGGAAGACGATTCAGTGTTGTTAATCTTCCTCCACCGAATCTCCCGCGTTTCGTTGAAAATAACAAACCGGCGTAGCCTGTCCCGCCAACTACGTGATGGCGTCACATCAGAAACGCCCACTTCGTTAAAGCGACGTGGAGTTCCAACGTACCAAAACCACAAAACACGCTCCATTAATGGGAATGATATTCACGGTATGTTTTAAATCCTCGAAAGTCTATTCTTCTTGGTCTTTTACCTCACCGTCATGCCCAGACGTCAAAAGCATTATGTCATAGTTACAAGAATAATATTTACAATACTTTATTGACAAAGTGGAATCATTCAAAATATTCTATCACTTTCTCCACGTGATGGTTATGAATAATACACACAGAATAGTTTTCCGGAAGAAATAGTGTGATTTTTGAAAGCAAGCTCACTATCTAACAGACAGTCATTTCGCGACTGAGATATACAGTACATACTGTATATACGGGGGGGGGTACATGCAAACTGCACACAGGAAGGCCAGAGCTGGAATTGAACCCTGTACCTCTGCACTGTGAAGTCAACGTGCTAATCACTCGACTACCAGCCCCCGACCCCCCACTCTCTCTCTCTCTCTCTCTCTCTCTCTCTCTCTCTCTCTCTCTCTCTCTCTCTCTCTCTCTCTTTTTTTTTTAAATTAAAGATGTGGGTGGCCAGGTGGTCGACTGGTTAGCACGTCGACCTCACAAGCTCACAGTGCAGATGTATCGGGTTCAATTCCAGCTCCGGCATTGTGGAGTTTGCATATTCTCCCCGGGCCTGCGTGGGTTTTCTCCGGGTACTCCGGTTTCATCCCACATTCCAAAAACATGCATGGCAGGCTGATTGAACACTCAAAATTGTCCCTAGGTATGAGCGGGGATGGTTGTTAGTCTCTGTGTGTCCTGCGATTGGCTTGGCTGGCAACCGGTTCAGGGTGTCCCCTGACCCTTGTGAGGATAAAAGCGGATCAGAAAATGGATGGATGGATATATTAGATGTGTTGATCTGATAAGCCTTTCTGCAGAAACAAGTTGGACAAAACAGTAAATAGTAGTAGAAATACCAAAAATCTTTTTTTCCCTTTTTTTTCTTTTTAATAAAACAGTGGTGGTGTATGGACCAAGGAAGAATTTACTACACGTTAAGGATCTGGATGAAAGGGCAAATACAAATACAAAGGGCAAATACTTTCACCATGTGAGTCACTGTTACATTAGTGGACCTGTCTACCCCAACAGAATAATATGTCACAGAATGAATAGACTTAAATCTTCTTCATTTATTCGATTGGGAAGAGTCCAACCACACTGGGCTCTACTGAATGAGCTCTTTAAATTGTAGTTACACATGTTTTTTACAGCAAACGTTAAATCGAATAATGCCTAAGAGTTTTGCAAAGTGCCATATGCATGCATGTATGTATTCCGGTACAATATTGACTGAGTCCTTCCTGTGTCTGGAAAAGACAACACGCCATGTGTTGACTCTCCACTCACTCACCACTTTGAGCTCCACCTCAGGGGACAATGTGATCTGTTCAACAGGAACTCCTCCGTTGGCAGACAGCTGGGTGTCTAAAAAGCACATCAGTGAAATCTAATAGCATACAGGAACCGACAGAGAACATTTATGCTGTGTGTATGACTGACTGGCGTGAGTGTTTTAGGCAAAACATGGGATGGGTTAACCAGTCGACAACTGATTGAAACAATAAATGATACTAGTTTGTTTTACAGTAATGAACTCTTTAAAAATATATGACTACAAAATGGAACGTATGCACGTAAAGTTTACAAGTGGCTTAAAAAAAAAATCAGTCGCACTGGTTATAATTTTTTCCCACCCTGCAGGATTTTGCCCCATTCCAAGGAAACAAAAAACTTGACACTGACTAATTATTGAAAATCAGATTTTAAGGGATTTTGTGATTTAAACTTTTGTGTTCATATATTTGACTTTTCAATAGTCATTTGGAAGAGAGAGAAGCTGAATGACGTGCATTAGGATTCCACATAATTTGGGTAGGAAATTGGATATTTCATGTCCTTGTTTCTCTATTTGCTCAAATGCAGCCCTGACATTTAGAAGTGTCCTTTGCAGCGAGCAAGGTGGATTGTTTTTATAGCAAAAGCAGAATTTTCCTTGTCATTAACCTGTCTAACTCTGACATGCCCAGCAGTTGTCACATAAACAAAGAAGTATGACTCTTACAGCATTTAAATCTATCCCAACAACGGAAAGCGCAGAAACACAAATACCACTGAAGCATCATGAATTGCATTTATTGTTTTGTTCATTAATATGGTGGATACAGTTTAAGATGAGAGGGAATATCACATTGATTCCAGTATTTGGACAGGAGGATTTGAAGATTAGATTAATAATGTATACCTAGTCCTCCATGCACCAGTAAGTTAACTACTAATGCTTTGAATTCAACGGGGCCAAATGATTCTAAAATACCCATTATGTGTTGTGTTGTGTTATTTTTGTTATTTTGACTTCAAGATGGCGCCGCGTGAGTGGCTGCCTTTCCAGCAGCTCCTATATTTTGTTGTTCTACTTCTTCCATTCATAACTTTGCTGCTGTGAATTGGGAATTTCTCCATTGCGAGACTAATAAAGGTTTTCTTATCTTATCTTATCTTATCTTATCTTATCTTATCTTATCTTATCTTATCTTATCTTATCTTATCTTATCTTAAAAAGCATGACCAGGGAAAGGCCTTCTATAACAGCTTCATCAACAATTTGATGATTTATATTGCCATCTAGTGGCTGTACAGGAGAATGCATTCACTGGCTTCTTCTGTGAGTGTATTTTTAAAAAATATTATTTCAATCCATCCATTCATCCATCGATCCATCCATCCATCATTCCAGCCATCAAAAGAGTCTGAGACAGATTACGTTTTTTCTTGTAGTTTTAATAGTTTTAATGAAGCACATCATTTTGCCTTGCACTTGCCCATGCGGAGGAAAAAATCTGACAAAGCTGAAAGATCAACAAGGCACACACTCTCACCACAGTTTCCAATCAAAGCCACTAGAGAGTGATTTGGTTTGGGTTCTGAGGATAATTAAGATGCAAAATCACTTGTTCTGAGTACTACAGTTTAGAAGAGTACCACATTTAGGCTGATAATTAAGAGTAATTGACATCAAAATATTGCCTGGAATCTTGTAAGCACTTAAGTTCTCTGACCCTCAACATCCCAATACACCAGTACTGTATACTGTTGGCCAGAGAGAAACGGCATCTTTCTCGTTGAAAGTCACCCTCACAAGATATCACTTGCTTGTAGGGATGGCATAGTAATTAGTTTTGCAATGAATTAAGTGTAGACTGGAAGCAGCTGATTACAGGAGGATTGAGTTGTGTTCCTACTGCGGTGACCTGTCCTGTAATGTATGTAACAAATTACAAATAAAAATACAATTATGTAATTACTCTACTTAAGTGCAAATTGACTTTGTTGTTTATATTTCTTTCAATTTTCACATATTGTCAACGACAATAATCCGGACACCGATACGTTTCTCCGAACCATCTTCGTTAATTCTTACAACAAAATTAAATCAAAAGAATTGTTTGTTGACATAAGGCCTGAACCGCAGAGCCCAAAGTGTTGTCCTGTTTGGCAAGACACGCAGTTTTCCTTTCAATACTTGTACTTGTCTGAGGCAAGTTGACGACGGGCAGCATTTCGGCTGAAGTTTAGCCCCTTATGGGTGTGAGCCCACGAGGTTTGTGTGTTTTATGTTAAATCAATTGTCTTTGTAGTTTTGTCTTTTATTTGGTACGTAATGCCACTTGTTTGTATGTTTCGTGTTCGTGGGACCAGTTCTCACGGGTTGCCAGGAATAAACCCTGTATTTTTATCGTGGACTTCGTGTCGTCATTCATGCTGCATCCTGAGGGCGCTACACTTCCTATGAAGTACATTTAATATTAGGAAATTACTTTTGATACTACAGCAAACGTGAGATACTTTATGCATTTTACTCAACCAATATTCTACAAGGTGACATTAATCAACTTTGACCAAAGTTGTGTTCTGTTTATCATCTTCAGATAATTAGTACACAAGAGTGGTTAACGCGGTACCTACGTCATAATTATCGTAAAGATTTATTTGTATGAAAAACATTTCTAGGCCTTCAATGCAAAACCATCAAATCGTCGCTGTCCTGGTTTGTCCATTTTTGTCATTAATATTATTATTATTATTATTATTTTTTTTTTTCCCGTAAATGGGGTGTCTGCCTTTCGGACAAAGAAAATGACAAAAATGGACATGTGCCTTTTTATCAGGGGCGAATCCTTGAACCTCCAAAATAGTTACTTTTCAGGAGACCCCAAAACAGCATGTTTGTTCAGCCATTAAAAGAGAGCCAGTCATTAGATTGATCAATAATTTGTCAAAATACCACCCATATGGGTGGACTGACCAATACTATAGGTTGTTGATAAAATATGATATTGACCAAATTGTGACTCAAAAGGTGGATAAACATGTATATCCTGTATAATTTATGTATACATATATATTAAGAGCGAAACAAAAAGGTTCACTTCCATTTCCTGCCTCCCTGTGTGGAGTTTGCATGTTTTCCCCGGGCCTATGTGGGTTTTCTCTGGGTCCTCCAGTTTCCTTCCACATTCCAAAAAAACATGCATGGTAGGCTGACTGAACACTCTAAATTGTCCCTGGTTGTTCGTCTCTATGTGCCCTGCGATTGGCTGGCAACCGGTTCAGGTTGTACCCCGCCTACTGCCCAAAGACGGTTGGGATAGGCTCCAGCACCCCCCGCGACCCTTGTGAGGATAAAGCGGTTCGGAAAATGAATGAATGAATAATCACAGAGCACAGGCCCCTTGACACTTGATGTGATACTGGCAGAGGTAGTTCCTGAGCTGTGGGGGCAGTGGAAGCTTCTGTATACCCTGGTAGGTGGTGCAGCTGCAGATCACAGCCCTGCACAGGTGTTGGAGGGGAAAAGGAAATGTTCTAGGTAGCGGCTGGGAAAGGAGGGGTTCAAAGAAGAGACAAGTGGCAGGGTCACTGTAATGTCTCAGCAGCCCTGTCACACTGGCATCCCGGTACATGCATGGGTCACGCACATCAAAGCTGAAACGCTTTCCGTTCTGCTCAATGCGTGCGTGCAAGGAACGGCTGTAACGTCGAAAGCTGACTGAGAAAAGGAACTCATCCTGGGCAGAGTCTCGGAGAAGGAAGGTTCCTTCTGGCTGGCCCTCCAGGAGTTCCTCAGCCTCAAAACGGTTAAGCACCCCCCAGTAGCAGGAGCTATTGTTTATTTGCAGGAGATCAGGGACCAGGATGTAGCTACTGCTATCCTCTGTTTGTTCGTGTGGACAAATAGTGTCCCAGTCCTCCTGAGTGATACTTCCAGGCCCAGGGGAACAGCAGATCTCCTCCCAGGAGAGAGGTGTCTGTGGTGGTGAGTTGCATGAAGATAGGTTGTTAGCCTTGACGTTAGCCTCAAGGTCCAGGAGAGCACTTGCTTGAGTGGCATTGTTTTTAAAAAAGTGCCAACTGCGGGCAAGTTCAGATTTAGCAGTGAAAGGGCACTTGTCTTGCATGAGCTCTGAGACGTGAATTTTGCGTTTGGACCAGAATAACACAGAAAAGGAACGTGAGGCTCCCTGTAGATAATGGTGATGAAGATGATGATGATGATGGTGGGGATTATGCGAGCGCAAGGGCAAACATTGTCCCACAGCATCCTGGAACTTTTGCCGCAGAGAACGCCTGGACAAGGCCTTTCGGCACACGCCATCAATGTCTTCCCCAAGACTGCTGCTGCAGCTACACTTTCTCTCTCTGCGCCTCCTTGGGCAGGATGTGGACCGTACCCCAAGTTCCTCTGAGACCTCCGCCTCCAAGCCTCCAGGACTTGAACTCTTACTAGAATTCCTTGATCGCTTCTTTCCTCGCCAAACATAACTGTCGGCGCTCCAACTCCGAACGTCGCATTTGGGACGAGTGTCTGAGCAACGGGGTTTCTTCTCAGACATGGCTGCTCCCTCTTCTCTTGCTGTCATTAAAAAAAAAAACAAAAACAAAAAAAAACATATCTAAGCAAGAACAAGAACCTCCATAACAAATTGTTTGTTTATATACATTTAAATCGTTTATACAACCTAACTGCACTTTTGTTATTTCAGTCCTATTATTTGTCCTAAAATATTCCCAAACCTTCTTAGCTCATTACCATTTCACCCAAACTTGAGAAATAGCAAATGTATTGCCATAATGTTGCCATACGATAATGCAAATTAAAACGTCCATCTATTTTTCGGAGATGAGCTGTAGCCTATCCCAAATGACTTTGGGCGTAGGGCACAGGGTACACCCTGGACTGGTTGCCAGTCATGACAGTCATAATTGCAATCAAAAAGCACAAAATTACCGGTACCTACAATTGGTAACAGCCCTGGAACCCGTGTGGGTCCTGACCCTAAATTTGAACAGCAGTCTTGCTTGGCAGATCATTCAACAATAAGTACTGCACAAATGTTGCAATGCATAAGCATGTCACTCTCTTCATCATGAAATTTAACATGTAAAAATAGCTTTTAATCAACTTTTTAAAAGCAAGCAAATCTACAACTACTGACGAAAGCACCGTGTATATACTGATGTAATATAGCTTTTTATATTTTTTTGTTCATTAAAATCTTCATAAGGACTCCGGTGATGTCTTTGGGTAACAGTATCTCTGACCAGACTGCGAGCAGCAGTTAAAGTGAAGCTGTATGAATGAAATTAATTCAAAAGATGAACGTACCTTATGAACAGTGACGCAAACACAGCTCTTCATCCATGTTGGTTGTCTACACATTAACGGACATGTGCGACCAGCTTGCAACCTCTCCGCTTCTGACAAATGGTAGGTTGTTGTACATCCTATGAAATCACTGTCTCAAATCCCATAGGGGGCGGCAGTTTCCTCCTCTCCGTTGTGGTGTCTCAAGTGAAGAGGTGGAGCGGTGTCAAGCTGGAGGGGTGAGATGGGTGGGGGATGAGAAGGTGACCTCAAAGTCAATTGGAACTGTCTTCTAAGTTATTTGTACGTGTGACTGTGGGGGTGAATGCTATATAGAGATAGATGGATAGATAGATAGATAGATAGATAGATCTCTCTCTCTTATACACATAAACACACCTGTGTATGGTGTGTGTGTGTGTGTGTGTGTGTGTGTGTGTGTGTGTGTGTGTGTGTGTGTGTGTGTGTGTGTGTGTGTGTGTGTAGTGGACATGACTTGTTGTCGTTGAACTAAATGGCCCAGAACACACTATAGCATTAGTTGCTCTGCAGGAGATTCCCAACTGTAGGTTATTAATCAGATTTACCAGCAGCCTGTTTGGACTTCTTACCTGCTTAGGAGTTCAATCAATTATTTGGTTCAATAGAGGAAACAACAAAGCATCTAAAAGCCTTCACTTATTGATTGAATGATTGTTGTGTTTCTCATTTAAAACTTCCAGGAAGTGCTTCTGACAGACGTGTCATATGCGGTGTTTGAGCCAGTTACAAACACTTTTGGATATAATGTGTGAAACAACGCTGTCAGACACAAAATTTTACTCTTAGAGTCTAAATGCTTTAGTGTGTGTGTGTGTGTGTGTGTGTGTGTGTGTGTGTGTGTGTGTGTGTGTGTGTGTGTGTGTGTGTGTGTGTGTGTGTGTGTGTTTTCCTTTGCCTTGAGAAGACTCATCAATAAATCTATATCAAGGCTGATATATCTGATCATGTAGTGACACTCAACTTCCTCTAAACTGAATATTTAATGCTCTTTGCATTATCGTAGCGGCCGGATGGATGACAACTGTTGTATGTTCTTGCAATCAACCTGATCGATTCCATACAGAGACCACGGCACCTTCAGGAACTGGAATTACATCAGGTCAGTGAATACAGCGCAACTCATTCTTGAACATATTTATGAGGGAATACACTTCAACCTTGAGGACAAAACTCCAAACTGCACAGTCCAGAAACAAATGGACGCAGACTCTCGCCCTCACAATGTGGTCTCAATAATTGTCCAATGGGGATAGTGCAAAGTTTGGTCCAGGAAGGAGCTTCAGCAGTTTGTCTAGTACAGCCAGGACTCGACCGGGGGCTCGTATTAATCCACATTACAGAGGCATCGATCCCATGAACGGCATGGACGACAGGAGCTACCATGAATAATTGATGCAAATCCGACTGAATGGAAACTACTCTGATTAGATTTTTACATGGACTATATTGCAGATTCTATTGATATTTATGGGATTGGCGGTGTGAAACTCCACAATACATTATGGCAGCTTGTTTTCATTTAGCATCTAATGTAAAATGTTTTCTGATCTCAACTCATATTTGGTTCATCATTGACAGTGGTGGTACATTTGTCTTGTATTTCACATACAAAGGAATTTTGGAAAGCAAAAAGGATGGATCCTTTCATAATTATTGAGCATTTGCAAATGAATGGGGGGGAAAAAAACACATAAAGGGCACAATAACAAGGTTCGGCAAACACTAAAATGAAACTTGGCAGGTAATCAGTCCAGGGTGCACCCCGCCTATCACATCAAGTCAGGTCTTCTTGTCCCATGAACCCAAGCGTCGAGCTACCCCACTTATGGGAAATGGATGGAACAAACCATGAGAAAGGAAAAATGCACTAATCAATCCAAGGTGAAATGTTATGTTATGTTTAAGTTGTCAGATACACTAAATGTGGTTGTTTACACCACAGCAGAATCTTACTGCATGATTTGTGCAGCTCAGTTTTTACACCGGATGCCCTTGTGTACCTCCCTCCCTTCAAATGCATTCCACGAGTACTTGTTGGTTTCCTGGTGAAAATTTTTACCAATGTGCATTGTGCATGCACAACAAATTTTGATATCCTGTTTTGAATATTGTAGGTCTTTTCCTTTTGGTGTATTGAAATTTAGTTCAATTAGGCCAGATCCATTGTCATGTATTGTCGTCGGTTGTATTTTACAGTGTACTATTTTTCAACAAAATTGACATCAGGATAAATCAGAAGAAAGTTACAATAAATGTTGATAATGCATTCGCATATTCTGGGTGATACCCAGGTTCAGTTTAGCCCCTAATAAAAAGACCTTTGATTAATTTCCATTTATGTCACTTGACATGACATCTGAATGTAGTTAACGGTGTCTGGTAATTTCCTCCCTTTAAATCCTGTCAAAGCAGCGATACTCCCTTCAATTTCCTTGCAGTTAACTGAGGTCATCTGATTTTTAGCTTTTATGATCTCATAGTTCAACTATGACATAATCCATTAGTATTGCAACTAGTTGCAATACTAATGGCATATGTCGCTTCGACATTAACAGCTGTTGTCATGACTTAAATTTATCTTCAATTTGTTCATGTTTCCTACACATCAGTACTAAAATGACTGTCTGTTAGAAAGTGAGCTTGCTTTCAAAGATCACACTATTTCTTCCGGCCAACTGTTCTGTGTGTGTGTGTGTGTGTATCTGAGAGAGGGTAAATTGAATCAGTATGGAGTCTGGCTCCACGGGTCTCTTTTGTTTCCATTGATCCTTATCCAAAGACTTCTCTGACAAAACAGCAATGCTGCACCTCTCCCTGTAAAGAAACGGGTCACATTACATGCAACGAGAAAAGTATTCCACCCTACTTCATCAGCGCAGAAACCTGAGATGGGTGTCATGAAGTGGGAAATATGACTTAGGACTTTTTTTGTTCCTGTATTTTCTCAATAAAATGTCTTCATATTGTTTTGCAGAACATCAAGGCATCAATTACATTTATGGTTTGTGTTTTTTAGTTCCTTTTTCCAAGTGGCTTCTGGTTGGTTTTCACTTTCACCATACTTGGTTCAAGGGCTGAGCCTTGTTCGAATGTGATTGTTGCCTTGCTAATTCATCACACATCTGAATCTTGTCACTGCTTGACATTATTCAATCTGGTAAACAAAATGCTCATATTAAAGTTAAGTTTAAAGCAACAGTGGCATGAAATTAAATGGGCGAGTCTGGTTGCGGTGGCTTCATCCTACAAAACATTAAAAAAATATACTTTTTCGGAACTGACTCACACAATCTGATTAGCTGATATAAAACATCCAGATACTGTGATGTTGACACACAGCAAGCTGTCCTTTTAGCTTCAAAGCAGCTTTGATACTAACCAAGATACATGAGAAGTGACCGTGATGACAATAATAGAATTTCAGTAGTTGCTGATGTTTAATATACATTTTAGTTAAAAACATTGTGAAGCTGTCTATCAGACATGCAGTTTGCATGCATGTCTGAAGTAAGAACAAAAGGTCCCCAATGAACACACCTCATTAGGTGCCCGAAATCCAGCTCACCTGCTCCAGCAAACATGCCCCAAAGAACTTCACTTGAAGTCGAAACCCGGGCCTACAATGAAAAACCAGGATGGATGGACCCTGTCTCCACGCTAAGTGGGATTTGGATGTTAAATCCGCTCCAGGAAAATTACCAAACAGTGTAAACAGGAGCAAATTTAATTGCGTTTAAATAATCTTTCTTTTTTTTTCTCAACGCTGTAGTTTGTCTTCAATGAAGGAGGCAGACAAATGCAACAACAGTTTGAACAATCAGAATTGTTATGCTAAAAACACTTAGGCATTTGTTATTGCTTGAGCTTTATCTGAAGGCAAGGCTATCTAAATACCGTTGCATGTACATGGCACTACAGTACTTTTTTTGGCACTGAACTGATATTCGTCCATCCATCCATCCATTTTTCTATCCGCTTATCCTCACAAGGGAGGTGTTGGAGCCTATCTTAGTTGTCTTCGGGCAGTAGGCGGGGTACACCCTGAACCGGTTGCCAGCCAATCGCAGGACACACACAGACGAACAATCATCCACGCTCACACTCACACCTAGGGACAATTTAGAGTGTCCAATCAACCTGCCATGCATGTTTTTGGAATGTGGGAGGAAACCGGAGTACCCGAAGAAAACCCACACAGGCCCGGGGAGAACATGCAAACTCCACACGGGGAGGCCGGAGCTGGAATTGAACCCGGTACCTCTGGACTGTGAGGTCGACGCGCAAACCACTGGACCACCGGGCCGCCACTGATATTCATGTGTTGCCCATATTTAGCTGGGATAGGCTCCTGCACACTTACGACCCAAGTGAGGATAAGAGGTAAAAATGTTTTGGTTTGTGGCTAAAGTTACACATCATAACTCTGACCTGATAAGTTCTTTGTATCCCATCACATTACATAACTAACAGTGCATTTTTGTCATGGTTCGGTTTTGCCTTTGCCATGTTGCTCTGCCTACTCCTGCAATTCCTCTTTCTCTGCTCTCCTCTCCCTCTCTGCAGTGCTGGAGTGTGACAAGAGGCAGTGCCTATCTCAGAGGTGGAGACTCACACCCTCACCTGTGCCACATCAGCTTACATACTGTAGGTGCCAGCCTATTTAACCAGCTTCTCCCGTTATTCTGTGCCAGAAAGTCCTTGATGTTCATTCTGTGGCTTGCTATGTTTTCCTCCTGCTATGTGGTCCAGCCTCAAGAGTCACCGAGTGATCTAGTTTATCTTGTTGTCACGAGTATGTCTCTGAAGAAGGTGATTTTCAGTTGCTACTTTGTTTTCTTGAGTATATAATAGTTTTGTTTTTGAGTATATTAATGTTGTTTTGCTACTTGGGCCAAAATACATTTTTATTTTTTGTGCCTATCTCTGCTTTGTGGGTCCTGGTCTTTTTATTTGTCTCGTGGCTCATAACAATTTTATTTGTATAATTTTTATGATTAGAGAGCTAATTTTGAAAAGAAGTCACTAGCATTGACAGGCCACATCAAATGATGTGGCAGGCTGACCTGTCCCGGTGGCCTTGCTTTTGACACCTGTGTGATAGTGGACCAATTTTCTGAAAATAACCATACCGATTTGTATCTGTTTAAGGAGATCATTTTGAATTGCCGAACACTGTAATATCATGTGA